AATAAAGACAGTGTTTCTGTACTTTTTATTGGGTAAAAATAAAATTGAACAGCTACCTCAACATAAGATTTTTTTTTTTTTTTTTTAGTAGCTTCCCATGACTAAAGAAGCAAAGTCTAAAGTTAGTTTTATCCTTCAAAAGGGGGTTATGAGAGCACGCAGGACTTTTCTGATAGAAAAGCCAGATTTGAAAATTTTTTAAAAATGAAACAGGACATACCTGCATATATATATACCCATATTATCTCCAGCTATAGAGAACCATCCATATGTCCATTTTTAGAAAATACCTAATGAAGCAACTTTTATTCTTGAACTTGAAGACTGATGCCGTCAAATAATTAACAAATCTATTTAAGTACTAAAGGTGATTTTTTTTTAAAGACGTTTTTCAAATTGTCAAATGATTTAATGCAGATGAACAGATTTCTATTTTAAGTTACAGGGGAATGTGTAAGAATGTTCATTTGAAACATGGTTAACCTTTTTCCTTTGTTGGTTTTGACTGAATTAGATGGATACCATGAGATGTTAATATTCATACATGTAATAAATAGAATGATGAAGAATCTTGCAGTTTGTGTTTATTTTGTGAATGGCCTTTTCTCTTAAGTCCTTTACCTCTGTTCTTTAAAAGCTGTACCATAAAGCCAGCTACTCTGGAGATAGGCATATAAAACACTGAAGGACATAGTTTATTTAGTATTTACATTGCTGGGAAAGTGATGACATGATGTATCTTGTTTTTCTATGCAAAAATGTGTCATATGACTTTCCTGATGACCCAATATAATCTTTTCTGGTTCTTAAAACTAATATATATTGTACATGAGTTTATGGATTAAACTGAGCCACCTAGTTAAAAAGTTGTGTAAGAATCTGACCTGGGCTTTGTCTCATTCATTCGTTTCTGCAATTTAAAAAGTACACCAAGATAAATGCTAAGACAGAAACAGTCACACTAAACTACCTAGATGTGGGTTAAGGATGTCTTAGAGATGGTGATATCTGAATCTTGGAGGATAAGTAAGAGTGGGCTCAACATGAATGGAAGGGCATATTTGGAATATGACCACAAATGTGTGAGACTTGAAGCAGTGCATTTGTTTTCAAAACTGAATTTTTTTTTTTTTTTTGCATGGTTAAGACATAGTAATTGGGGCAAGCAGGTGGTATGGTGGTTAAGGGCACTGGACTCCCATATGGCCGACTGTTCAGATCCCAAACCTGGTTGCTTCCTTTCTTTACCTCTCTCTCACTCTGTCCCTCTGGTCAAATTAAAGTTAAAATAATTCTTTAAAAAAAAGACAGTAATTGTCAATAGGAGACTAAGTTACTTGACTAAGCTTTCTTAGTCAAGCTAGTTTATTTTACACTAACAATGGACACTCACTAGAAATTTAACAGTATCTAAGAGGTCTTCTGCCCAAGTAATGAAGTGAGTACAAGTTTAAACAGATCAACTAAAATAATATGAATAGACATACTGTCATGGAAGGAAGTTCACACCACGGAAGAATTCTAGGGTCTGAGTTTAAAATGTAGGCAAAATACCCTGTTGCACATGTTTCTGGGGGTGCTCTCAAAAGGAAGGTGACATTCAAACCTACAAATGTACCGAGTATCCATTTAGAGGGAGAACAGGGCCAAGGACAGGTCCTTGGGGAACATTCAAAAACTGGTGAATGGGAAGGTGAGAAGTAAAATAGGAAATCAATTTCTGAAACAAAATCTTCAAGGGATGGGTAGTCAACATGTCAGTCAAGAAAATATAGTAAGATTGAGAAATATTCCATTGACTTAATAGCTGTGGGTGGGAAGTGACAAAATAGATATATTCAAGAAATTTGGTGTAGAGATTATATTGTAGTTAGAATGAAACAGACATTAACGTGTTTATGTTAAAAGTAGCTCACTGAAGAGATGACTGAAGGACAGATGAGTGACCTACCAGCCTCAGCTGGAATGAAAGGTATCAACAGTACTGAAGGGAAAAGATTACTTTAGGATGGGAAGGCAGCGCTTTCTCTGAAATAGTTCAATTCCCATTTTCTCTTAGAGGTAGGAAGGCAGTAATCTAGATCAACTCCAATTTAGCTCTGTATCAGAATCACTTATAGTGGTTAAGAAGAAACCTCTCTTTTCTTTCCTTTTTAATTTTTACTAAAAGATTTTTGCTATAGGGTGCTTGCACTCACTGAGACAGAAAGCAAAGGCCACGTTGTAATCCTCTTTGATCTTGGGCACACATGCACACGTACGCGGCAAGTTTCAAGCCATTAGGTCTGGGACAAACTGTGGCTGACTACGTGGGAGTTCAGTGACATAGCCATTAACACCATCTGCTAGTCCCTAGATGCCTCATTTCTGAAGCTCATTTGGTTCTTTTTCAGGGGCACCTAAGCAGCTCCACAGGTCTAATGAACAGTTAAATCTAAAAATCAGCAACACTAGATTTCAGCCCCAAAAGATGACAGGCAAGTAATAGCTGACAAAGCACCAGGAGCTAGTAGTAATGTCCTAAAAATCTGGAGATCTGTTTACATCCATCTTTACGTGTCCTGTTTTCTTTTTAGTTTCACTATAGGATATGTATGCGTGCCAGAAATAGGGAGTGCCCCCTAGCGGGGATTTCTGCAGCTATACCACAATCGCTTCTCTTGGGGTGTTGGGCACACTAGTGTGGTGTTTTTTTGTTGTTTAAGAAAACTAGTTTTATTCTTAAATGAAAAAGCAGAATATACTCTAATACATACTTAAAGCACAAAGTACATGTATCAACCAGTGTGATCATCAAGGTTTGCGACTTGAAGCACACAGATGGCCATGTGGGATCCAGTACCTAACCTTTGCACCAGCTACTGGCCCACAATGTACTGGTTTCAACTTACTCTCTTACTTAAAACTTCTAACTCTGGTGTTCTGGAAAAAATACAAAGCAATCTCACTGTAATTCAGCTAAAAAGCTTTAGTAAGAAAAATAAGGACTTAATTATATATTAAAAGTTTAAAATTCTCAGTAACAACTTAACCTAAATAATTCTATAATGGGGCCAGAAGGTGGCTTGGTGACTTCCCATGTGGCTGACTGGTTTGGGTCCTGGGCCTGGTGGCTTACTTTCTCACTCCCATCCCCCCACTCTGTCCCTCTCTGGTCAAATTAAAGTATATAAGTAAAGTTAAAGAATTCTTTTAAAAAATTCTATATTCTAGTTATGTTTTCCTGGCTAGCTGACCTTACAGACTATTTGTACAATATGAGTGCTCTAAGTGAGGTTTACATGACATATTCAGGGTAATCCTGTGTAAGTGAAAAGATATAGCTAATGGAGGTTAAACAGAAATGGAAAATCAAGAGGCTACTGTCAAAAAAGGTCTGAACTTACATAGAAATGAGTTTAAGCTTCCTGAATAATGGGCACTGTGTTGGGCAGATGGGGAAGGGTAAGCTAAATAAAAATAACTACTCATGGGGTACCTCTGAGAATTTGGGAGTGGGCACCGAAGGGGAAGAATACCTCAGAGAAAAGGATACATGGACAGGAAGGAGTAGAGATGGTTCCCAAACATCAATTTTTTTGATTGGGGTTGGTCCTACTTCCTGTCAAATTAAGTGTAAGGCGCCAATTTATGGTAGATTAAGAGAATAACTTGCTTTATCACCTCCCTTTGGAAAAACAGGTAGAGGACTAGCCATTTTTACTAATTTGAACTGTAGCTCTCAGTATGCAAAGGGCTGAGTTTCTATGGAATGCTGAGATGTCCACTCCAGCGTGTGTTCTGAACTATGTTTACTTGAGAAATTTCAGTCACTTACCTTGAAATCCTGTGCCAATCCAGTTTTTGCTTGACTATTTTATTAAAATTACTCTTCTGAATATTATCAATGGGTCCTTGCCACAAGCAATGTGCTTTTCTTAGCTTCTTAAACACTCCTGACCCACACCTTCCCCTTTAAAATTACGTTCTTTTGCTTTAAGTAAAAATAATGGTGTAATGATTACATTGCTGGAATCCAACACAGACCACTGTAGTTCAAATCCCGGATTGAGCAACTTGAAACTTACACTGGGTGTATGTGCGTGCATGTGTGCCCCAAATCCCAAGGAGAACAGAGAAGGGATTGTGATGATCATTCCCCTTGGGGGTGATTTCTTGCTTTCCGTCTCTTTCTTGTCTCTCCCTATCTCTCTTATTTCTCCCTGTCCTTCCAGCAACTGCATGTGCCCTACAGCAAAATCTCCAAAAAATAAAAAATAAAACAACAAAAAAAGGGGTATTCTGGGCTTCTATATTTTAACCTGGGAAGGATTAAAAATTTCCTTTGCTCAACTTTTGCAGAGGGTAGACTACTTTAGGAAATGCTCTAATAATTATTACTTTACTCAAGTTCTCTTTGTCTTGAGACAACTTTCTGAAATTTATATTTTTTAGGTTTTTGCATAGGGTGCATGTGCTCACTGGAGAAACAGAGACAGAGAGACAGAAAGTGAGAAATCACCCCCCAGGAGAGATACCTACACCACAATCCCTTCTCCTCACATGGGCACACATGCACATGTGCTTAGCGTGAGTTTTAAGCCACTGGGTCTGGGACTCGAACTGCGGTCAACTACATGGGAGTCCAGCAATGTAACCATTATGCCATTTGTTGGCTCCTGAAATTTATTTAGCCTAAGAAAATTGTCCAAGCCGATTTTCAAGATTATTTGTAGAAGATATACAAAATAGCTCACTTCTTTTTTTTTTTTTTGGAGAGGTTTTCGCTATAGGGCGCGTACGCTCGCCAGACAGACAGAGAGAGACATAGAGACAGAAAGTGAGAAATCATCCCCCAAGGGGGATGACCACGCTGCAATCCCTTCTCCTCCTGGGATCTTAGGCATGCACACATACGTGCCTGGCATGAATTTTAAGCCACCAGGTCCGGGATGCGAACCGCGGGAGACTACATGGGAGTCCAGCGACATACCCATTAATGCTAACTGCTGGTTCCCCAAAATAGCTCACTTCTGATTTTCTAAGTCTCCATATCTGCAATGTTTCCTTTGTTTCCAATATTGTTTCCTCTCCTTTTCTTCTCCAGGTTTGTTAAGTGTCTACTTATTATTCTCTTCAGATACAAGCTATTATGATGATCAATTTTATTTCTATTTCAGTATTTTCAGTTTTTACGTTTATTTTGGAAGATTTTACTTTTACTGCTGCTCTGCTGTTTCTATTTATTTCCTGATTCTTTCTGCCATGTGTGTAACCTTTGGGAATCTGTCATGTACTGTTTCATTCTATCAGTAAATTTATAGCAAAAAATCTTTACCACTATTATAATAAAGCTACTACAATCACTGTATTAATTTGGAGTCAGTCGCAGTGGGTTCTAATTCCCCAGTTCTTAATTAAGTAATCTTGGTCAAATCTGAGCTGTTTCTTCATCTGTAAAAATAAAAATAACAATACAGATTATTTATAAAAACTGGCCCACATTAACAACTCAATGTCTGGCAGACAAAAGCCTTCATTCTCTCATTTCTGAAAATGAGATTGGGATGACTAATTCCAAATTCTCCTCCAACAGTGAAAACTTTATTTTCAGCCTATTGGTCCATTCACCTATCAACCAACCAACCCATTCACCACATAACAGCTACTAAGCCTTTCCCTTGAACTAAATATTCTACATTTTAGAAACACCAAAATGATTAAGATACAGTCTCTATCTTCCTGATGCTCAGAGTCCTTGGGGGATGGAGGTAAGGATTAACTGTAAGATAAGTAATTACAATATAATATGATTAGTGATCTAATAAAAGCAGTGAAAATTCAGAGACTCTGAGGCACATGTGCAGCAAAACAAAAAACCTAGGTTGGAAATTCCAATTCAGGTTATTACTTACTAGTTGTGTATCCTCAGGTACTTATACTTTGTGCCTTCTCTATCTGTAAAAAAGGAACAGTGATACTTTTTCTGACAGGCTATAAGGATTAAATTAAAAAAAAAACCCTAATATACAACACTCATACAGTACTAGGCGGTTCATATAAATTCAATACATGGCACTTATTTTTACAAAACCTTATGGAAGTTAAAAAAAACCAATGTACTGTACCTAAGAGAGAAGTAGGGTCAGGGAGAATTCCCCAAATGTGTTCACAGAACAAAAGCGATCAACTGGGACAAGGGCAGGGTAGTTTCCTGGTAGAAGGAACAACATATACACAAAGGCTCAGAGATGGGGAAAAGTATGTTAGTTTCCAGGATCCCCGTTCATTATTCCTGAAAAGAGAAGACAATGTGTGCAAGGCAATTATGGATGGGAAAAACGGGTTGAGAAAGGGAAACCAAGTGGCTGATGTCCCTGAAGGAAGAACATTCTGGTTCCTGTATTCTACATTTTAAAGAACAAAATCTAACCCAATTGTTTGCAACGACAGCGAATGGAAGAATGCATGTCAAGCAACAGGGCTGGGAGAATGGTTTGGGCCGAACCTGTTCCACCTGGGAAGAAGATCTGGGGTAGTCAAGTCACTAATGGCCTGTGCTTCCATTACATTGGCTTTACAACTTACCTGATGTTTGGCCTTTGCAAATTACTGATACCTTGAGTCTCCTCCCCTGTGAAACGCGGATAACACGTACCTTACACAATCATTTTGAGAATTTAGTAGCAAGCGATTATTAGAGCCTGGCTCTAGTGAGCACTCAACAACGGTCACGGCTGCAGCTAACTTCTCCTTTGGGCCTTTCTCCGCACTTGTGAAATGACAGGGAAA